TGTATTGCAGAAAGAAGACAAATGTTGCGAGCTGTTAACATTTCGCTTGTTCTTCGCATTCTCAAACACAATGCATGCACTAGATAAACGTATGAGTATACGTGAAACTAACCTTTATGAACGTGACGCAACAAAAGAATCAACGCCACGACAACCTAATGGATTTTCTTAATTGTTTCCTTGCGCACAGCGTTGGACGATTCTGCGTGATCAACAGTATCTCGCCTATAGCCAACCCTTTTGGATTATTATGCTGCAGGAGTATTTTGAAAGCGGTCGATATGTCCAAGTGATGACCACTCGTCACGAATCGCTTTGCAATAGATAAAGCAGGGTTCAGCTTTATTACCTGATCCACCCCGCCTTGTTGTAAAATTGACTGCCTTAACCAACTTGGCCACCCTTTGGGCCAGCCGCCGGCCAGTTCTGCCAATGTATACGTTACCACAACAGCAGGTGGACTGGTATATTACATGATGGGCCAGACTGTCTGCCAACTCGACTGGATGGTCATCATCATCATCATCATTATACATGTGAGCTAGAGGTGGTAAAACACCTCCGCTATTGTACCGCAATACATAAAGGGAATACATACATACATACAATACTCGGTGGCTCATTGAGACACACAAACCATCTCTCCATGTTCACATCCAGGCTCGTCGCAATGGGATTAGTAGGAAGGTTTGTTGTGTTTTGGAGAGGAAATCCCACTGACAGCTCTTCTTCGGTCGAACTCATCGGTTATGCTGGCGATACTGACTTTCCTGAGGCGCATTGCTGCATGCTTCGGAACATGCATTGCGCCTTCGAAGTGTGAACTACTGTAGCGGAAATGAGGCGACACTATGCCGGTCCTAGTTATCACCGAACACCAATTGGTATTGATCACACTTGGCGGTGACACTGGTGTGGAACTATGTGTCACCTTTTAGCAATGTTTGTGTGGCTTTTAACCTTAGAAAGACCGCTACGCCGTTATACCTATAACGCACGGGACCGGTCATAATGACCGTCTTACTGTATTTTTATACTAATTTTTATTTAATTTTTTTCAATATGCTTATTAGAATCAGTAACTGAATTGAACTTTGACTTTTTCAAAACTTGTAAATAATTGCACTTACTTATTCACATTTACATTTGAAACAGGTGGCCACTCTCAGACTCCACATGAGCCACAAACTCTTTTTTCACATGCAGAATATTTGCTTTTCGACTTGTTTCCGGTACAGTAACCAATCTGACACTGCCGACGTTTACTTGTCTTGTCCGTCTGCATTGAGTTGTTCGGCATAAGTCCAGTTGTCACGTACTTTGTATGATGTATGCATCCATACAGTTCTTCCGCAAGACCCATCAAATGCGCCCCGCGAGATAATTTATTTCCGGAGACACTATTATAAAGTATACAGGAATAAATGCCAGCCAAATCCAGCACGTTTTAAACCATACTTGGACTGGCCAACATCGAGATTATGACTTGACAGTGAGTATTCTCTCCATTTAGTCGCGTACAACTACATCATACTTTTTGGAGTTGTCAAGCAATACATTGCCTTGAATAGAAGTGTTATTGTGCAAGGAACTGAAAATCAAAACATTTTTATTCCTTTTACACTGGTAGGATGTTAATGTGTGCTTATTTTTATTCTTCATAATAAGTGAACTGAACAGCTCTCTACTGCTTCGCCTCAAAATCCTTAGCACTTCCTTTCTACTAGCTCGAATAGTTTTCACCATACTTGTGTTTTTCTTGGAGAGTATTTCCCCCAATACTGCAGATATGGCGAAGTTGTCACATTCGACATTGTAACCCTTTCCATATAAGGATGGCATAAAGCCCAGTACCCACACTCTATGGAACACTAATCGGGGCCGAATTTCCTTCTTTTCCTAGATATGCAAATCCGTTCACGAAATATTTGTTACCCAATTCTGCCAAAATTCATAATTTGATACCGCACTTATCACGTTTGTTGGCCATGTTTTGACGAAAACGACAGCGGGTCTGTGGGGGAAAACAAGTGCTTGTCGACAGTGAGGTTCTTCACAGGCACATACCACTGTTTACAGTTGTGAATAAATGCATTCCAACATTCAGCTATCAAGGCAAACTTATCAGCCTGTAGTCTTTCACCTCCGGTGATTCGCATATCAAAACGAAGGAACCTCGTTATTTCCTTGAATCTCTTCTTGTCCATTGTCTCCCTTAAAACAGGCAATCTGTATTTATCGCATTTTCAACGACATATTCATCAAGCCCATTTGACCTCTGATGCAATATAGCTCAATAAATGCACGTAGCTCAGGAATACTTGTGTTCCCCTAAAAACTGACTCCTAAAACTCTGTTAGCCTCAGCTTCATTACATACTTGATTCTGTTTCAGCGTCTGGGACATGATTGTGATGTCGAAAGCATTTGAGATCTCACCATATTTCACACATTTCTTAGTTTTAACAGTTGGTCCTGGTGTAGCCTTGAAAAATTCTCTGAGGACATCCTACCACAGTAGTTGTCGGGAAATCCATTGCAGTCCACGATGTACCGTCTTTCGATATGTAAACTACTGGAACCTCGAGAATCGGCTGATACACTCTCTATGTTGTTTCATGAGGAGCGTCACTCTCAGAACTTTGACTATCAGGGATTCTGTGATTTACCGACTCCTGGAAAACGAAGTCTTCATCAACACCATATTCATTCTCGTCTCCAGACTTGTTATAATCGATAGCTGTAAGTTCTCGTAAAACCACAAAAGCTGTTTTCTTCCGACGTCCACTGTATATCAGTGGCATTGAAATGTATCCGTCCGAACCCACAATATCACCGGGAAATCGTGAATCGTCTAGTTTTCACTCCCGTTTTGACTGATATTGCATGTAACTTTGTCACAAACAAAATTGGCGCTAACGGGCTTTCTCGGTATTGAGAACACAACTACTTCTTTTCTCGAAAACCATGACAGATATGAAAGTGAAACTTCAAAGTTATGAAGGACGTCTGATAATATTAAAAATCACAAAATATCTTTGAAAAATGTTTACAAATGTAGAAACGATGCACATTTAACAACACTGAGCGGTCAGAATGACCGCTCCGGGCATTCTAGTGTTAATCGACCTGGTCATTTATGGGGACAGCGGTCAAACTTAGAATGTATGACGCTGCAGTGAGGACGGTATTACCTGACTGCTTTATGCTGTAGATATTAAGCTACTGGTCTTATTTGATCAACTGGGTGTTTGGGTACTATTTTTCAGATGTGATGTGGAATTACCATGAAAGCAGTACTGCATTCTACCAATTAATCTTTTGAATGAAATCCTCTAGTGCTGCGCTGGATTGTCTGCTAAACTTGAACCGCGTACGCTGTCGGACCAGATCATGTGCACTTTAAACCCGTTGGCCGCCTTTCTCGGTGAGCACTATATGCTGTCACTGCGCCTGTCTAAGTGAAACCACCGAGAAGTTAACCGATACATCACCTTAGGACAGGACACATCAGTGCTTGGAGATCCCATCGGACATGACACGGTGACGCTCTTGTACTCGGGTTCTTTTGTCCAACTGCCAGCTTTCATCTCGACTACTTTTTTACTAGCCTCTTTTTCCTTGTACTCTGCTTGCATTCTGCCTTATTTTACATTCCTTTGTTAATTACTGTTCTCATTATTACTGTACTCTTAGTGACGATAGTCGTTGCAACTGGATACACTGCACCACGGTGCTTTGATAAGGGTTGTTCCACAAAACTGACGTGGACCTTGGGCGCTTTTGAAGCGGTACACTTGCAAACAAATCATCTATCGGATGCCATCGGTTTGCTCGCACCTTCTCGTGATTGTCATTGTCTCATTGCGTTTACACTTAGTTCGACTGTGAGATTGGTGGCATCAGACACGGAGCCCAAATGATATACTGATTGCTAACCGCAATGAGGCCATCTTTCGCCTCTTTTCCGCGTTTATCTTCTCCCGCTGCTGTTTTTTCGATGAGTGTTTTTCACGTCTCATTACTGTGCCCTTGATCACTATCATTTTAACATGATTTGTGAAATATGTAGCGTTTAGTCCGGATGATTGCTGTGTGCATGGTTGTACTACGACTTCATACAAATCGATTCAAATGAGCTCAGCTTGTCGATCCGCTTGGCCCTCATTAATAAATGAACAGGCAAGTAAATTGTACATTCCTCGACAGTGCGAGGCATAATCTACTAATTGAGTGGTTTGATCAATATACAAGGCGGTTCTCACCGACACCGCGCCGTTCGGTGAACCCTATCATATACGTTTTGCGGAATGTCTAATTGCAATCTACAACCAGATATTGTAACGCGGCTATCTCACTTAACAGGGTCTGAGACGGCTATGTCATTGGTCCGAGTTATGTACGCTGTGCTCCGTCTCGGAAATGCATCTGATCTATGCTAATCCGGCCCATAGGAATTGTGTTGCTATTTCGACTGTGGTTCGAGTTCGTGTGTTCGAACTTTCACGTCTCTGCTTTCTTTTATCCGTTGAACTCTATGCTGGGCACCATAACATTCTACGTTTTTTGCATATCTACTGCTCGATCACCTCGGTGCTCCTGAGCGCGACGAGGTGACGACAGGGAAGCGATCATACGGGTGAGCAGACTGAAACCGAATAGGTCTCCTTTCCCTGTGGTGTGATCCAGCGAAACCGCCGTCACAATGGTTGTCGTCTCTATCACGTTGTATCAAGGTGATCGGTGGCACTGTGTTACACACTACATCTTGCCTTTATCCTTCAGCTAATCGATCCGATGCTTTTTAGTTTTCTTCTTTTATGGGAACACGGGATATTTTTGTCACAATGGCTCGAGCCAAGACAGCGTGATCGATCACCTTTTTTGTGCTTGGCCATAGTGCCGTAACCTAACTGCTATATCACAGTTGTGGGATTTTTATCAAAATCTTTCATGTGTTCTATGTTTACCTTAGCTTTACATTCGCCCTCTACCTCACAGAGATTTGCTGGATGAAGTACGTGATATGCTACTTCTTCGTGATCGAGTTTCCAGCTCTTTCTGTTGCCGACCTCGTCGCGGACAAGAGGTGTTCGGGATCATCTACGCAGTCGGTGGCCTGACATCCAACGGTGATTGCCATGGTATTGTGGAGACGTATCATCCCTCTATTGGCCGATGGGAGCTCGCTGAACATATGCCATCTCAGCGTAGCCGTATTGGTGTGATTGCTCTTAATGGTGGGTTCACCTTGTCAATCGCAGAGTTTACACATTGGCAGCTTGTGCAATCCTCGATATGGATTTCACTCTCAGTTCAGTATGTACATTGTTACCTGCGCGCACCGAATTGCGGTGTATCCGGGTGCCTGGAATTTTGTCGCCGTAATATCAAGGAACTACTCATCATAATGCGTGCTTAAGCGAGGCCATACTTGGGCTGTCATACGAAATGGTCTCAAAACTTTAATGAATCACGGGGATGCTTATCTTTAGTAGTCTTAAAATTTCCATTTAATAGCATGTATCAAAGTGCTGAATTAAATATTCGTTTTCGTATAGCTCACCAGACTTAGGAGTTTACATATTTACATACTAAATGTATCGAATTGAGCTGTATATTTACTAGAATGTTAAACTTAACGACCGAACCGACAAATCGTGCTGTCACTGAAAGTAGTACTTTAAATACAAGGGATAAGTACTTGGTTACTGTTATGGGAACCCAACGTCCCCATAATGATCATAAGCTTAAACCACAGATGTCAATGAGACTCGATTCAGACAAGTGCACATGTTTCGATCAACCTTCCAACTCGTGAAACATTCACGTTTCGATTGTCCTTTTTTACCTCAGAAAACATTCCTGTTTCCGGCCAACCTCACTTCAACCATAAAACATTCAGCCTTTTTTACCTAAGAAACATTCAGTTGTCCAGTCCAGCCTCCACATCTACCAGCATTCATTTTTCAGCATGTTCTGTAGGCATAGTTACATAGTATCAATTTAGTTGCTTCCAGCGTTTCCTTACGCAACTCATTGACGCCATGGATGTATAAAAAACGCTGGACTGCGCTGTAATCGCCTTGAGTCTGGTCGGTAAAAGTGCCTGCGCGAAAGGCCTGTCTTTTGTCTTGTTCTCTGGGGTTCGGGTAGCTGCATGTCCAATTGCCTTCGGTCTAGGAGCCCGTTCAACTCGTGCGTAGTAACCGTGTTGCGCCTAGGTCTCACGGATCGTACAGCTTCGGATATTGTCGGTTACTCTGTCGTGCGTGAAATAGTTCCAAGCCACATTGGTTCGACCGACTAGGAGAGTTGATACCAGATCGTCAGAGCTTGTCGTAACCAAGAGGCAGCTATAACAGTTACCTTATTTTCTTGACCAATCAAAAAGCATTAGGGGTAAAAATGCTCATAGAACGATAGACGTGAGCCACGGTAAAAGTATCTGGTTTCTAAATGAGGTGGCGGATATAGAGATAGCTTCCGCAATGAATGGGACATGTTTCCTGAATCCGCGCGAGACTCGTCCAGGAATGGAGTAGCTGACTCTGAACTCGTTTTCAAAGCTTTCATGACTGTACTCTAGGAGGTGCGACATTAAGATAGTATTAGAAGATCTCGCTTCACCACTGTAAAACCACTTCGGGATTTGTTTGTGGATCCTACAAGATAGACGCCTCATAGTACTACCCACGTGTTGTGCACCACAGAAACACAAGTACTTCAATTATTTTGCGAGTAAATGCTTACTGTATACTCTGAGCAAGCGAGCGGCGTAATGGTTCAGTCAGCAACAAGTTCAATAAACTTCACTGGCCCTCACGATTGCACCACGTACGATAAGCGGTCCAGCTACTGATGGTGATATGGCCTGTCTCGAAGACCCCCATCTGGGAAGACAACAAGCATCAACCCGTCTGGATCGTTTTTTTGTGAGTTTCTACATGCGCTTTTTACGTGTCTTTGACTGACTACCACTCCTAACTACCCCAACCACAGTGATCATCGATCAACCGCTATCGATCAGTGGATTGAACATTCCGTCATAACCAGAGCAGCGTTCACATTTGGCACCATGGGCTGACGCAGTGCGGTTGTCCAACTTCAGACCTGCAGCCCAGCTTGATCAACTCCATAGATTCTGGAAATGTGTCCATTCTATTAACACCGGGTTGCAACATTTTGGCAACGGAGGTGGGATGGATCAAGAGGGTGTTTTTACAGTGATTTGGAATGTAATTTTTTCACAAGAACGTGAGCAATTTGGAGCCGCTCGGTTACACATGATCTGGATTTCACCAGACACTTTTCTGTCCAGCTAAGCGGGGATTCGACACTTAATCATGATCGAGACCGTCACTCGACATTTATATTTTCAGCCCGCAGTCCTCAGTCAATTACGAATGATCGAGACAGTCACTCGACACTTGCCTTTCCAGTCGGCAGGTGCCAGAATACCGAAGAGCGTTCAGACGACGCATCAATCAACATTGGCTTACTGCAAGTGTTCCGTGCTGCAAATAAGGGACAGCAACAGTCCTATTTCTCTTGCATCTACAACAATCCAGAAGACCTTCAAGAATATCACACTATTAAAACTTTTCTTTGCGAGGAAGGTGTTAGGAGCAGACCAGTCCTAACTACCCCAACCACAGTGATCATCGCTCAACCGTTATCAACCACTGACACTCCGTCATAGCCAGAGCAGCGTTCGCATTTGGCATCATGGGCTAACGCAGTGCGGTTGTCCAACTTCAAGCCTGTAGCCCAACTTGATCAAATACATAGATTCGGGAAATGTGCCCATTCTTTTAACATCCGGTTACAACACTACCTGTTGTTTTTACCCAACCACTGGCATGAGGGCCACATGAAGGAATCTTGGAAAGTGATTCCAGTTCAATAGGCGCACTTCATAGAAACATTCGAGAGTCTGCTGCCAAACACTACATGATGGACTTCACCGTAACTTGGTTTTTCCACCAGATATGAGGACAACTTCGCTGGTTATATCTGGTTGTTCGAAAAGTAACTTCCTTTTTTCCCAACATTTGATTGTAATTTTTTCATAGCCGACTTCACACTTAAGCCGCAATTTTTACACTGACAGCTGATCTAGCAAAGCTTGCTTGTGAAAAAATTCGATTCATTCCACGCAGTATTTTTTGCTTAGCGTTCTTTCAACTATGGAGAGTGAAAAGCACCATTTTCGGCATATTTTACTTTTTTTTACAATCGAATATGTAAAAATGCTGTTCAAGCAAAAACAAATATCCGATGTATATAGAGGATATGTATTGACAGAACGCCAGTGCCCAAACTGGTTTGCAAAATTTCTATCTGGCATTAAATATTCCTTGCATTAATCCTTGCATTAATCAATAAATTAATTGATGCAAACGGCGATGCACAGCTCTTCAGATCGCTGAGAGATTAACTTTGTCTAATTCGACGCCCATGAGCATTTGAAATGCCTAGGTTTCACCTCAAAGCTCGACATATGGGTTTCTCATGATTTACTCGTGATTTACTTCTTAAACGTCAAAAAATGATCCATAATTGAAGCGCATTATTACTGGGGATGAGAAATGAGTTGTCTACAACAGTATTAAACGCAAGGGATCATGAAGTAAAAGAATGCACCGGTTCAAAACAGTTCGAAAGCCGATATTCATAAAAAGCACGTGATGCTATCTATTTTATCTGATTTTAAAGGAATCGCTTTTTTATGTGCTTCTGCCGGAAAACACAACGATCAATTCTAAAGCGTACTATCATCAGCTTTACAAATTGTATGACCCACTTAGTCAGAAATGGCCATAATTTGTCAGTGGAAAAGTGTAGTGTTCCACCAAGATAATACGAGACTTCACATAAGTTTGCTAACTGGCTAACTACTTTTACAGCATGGATGGGATGTACTACCACACCCACCATATTCTGGCATCTGATTATTATTTGTTCCCGTCTCTACAAAAAATTTTAAACCGTAAAACCTTGACCTCAAATGATGAGGTCAAAATCCACCTGGATCAGCTTTGTCAACAAAGAATAACAATTTTATGAGCAGGGAATAATGCTACTGCCGAAAAGATGTCAGAAAGTATTGGAACAGAATGAAGAATCTATCATTTATTCAAATATTCTTTCACTATAAGCAAATCGTTTTACATTTCCACCGAAGAAACGAAATTACTATCCGAACAAATACATATACGTATATATATATATATATATATATATATATATATATATATATATGGTTGGCGGCATCCGGTTTCGGATTTGCCTGCCACTGTGGCCAGCCACAGGACGCCTGCGCCTACAGAGGGACCATGGATCGCTTGCGCTGCACCACCCACAGCTCCAACCACACACCCCATATCCAGTGTACACCCGAAGGAATAAGACCGGGAGGCATGTGGATGGGAACCACGTTTCATCAACGGAGCCGGCCCACACTCCTTCACAGGCAAACACAAGCACACTGTATTTGGGGAATCAAGCGCATACAAGACGGTGACTGTACCGTAGTCCGCTACACACTGAGTGCATGGAACCACTCTTTGATCCTAACACGGCCACAAGGACCGTGCACCCCGTCCCCCCAGCAACGACCAGCTGTCTCCTGGAGCCAGATGGACGAGGTAGTGGATACTAGATGGGTAGGCACTTTGTCAACATGCACATCAAACGCAGCCACACCGGGGAGGTCAGGTAACAGCCAATCACTTGTGAGATAGATAACAAAGAAAATAACTCGAGTAATGCATAAGAAAACGGTGACATAAATCTTAGATCAATGAGCATATGAAACAAGTTGTTTGCAAAAGAATCCGAGGTAAGTTCACGAGGTCAGAAAAAATATTTTACGGAAATGCCACGAACACGAAAATGTTATCGAAATTAACTACGATTAGCTTAAGCGACGTATGCAAATTTATAGAAGAGGGTACAGTTAGACATTAATATGAGAAAGAAAAGCATTAGGACAAAATCGAAAACTCAGCACCTGAAATAAAGAGACTTAGCATGCAAGCACGCGGTTAGTAAATCGAATGCAGCGTGCCTACAACCGCTGCGCCGGTTCTGCTTACGTTCTCTGCAGGACCCGTCGTCGCTTCTTTAGTGGTCCCGAGTGGCCTCGCTCATGGCTCACTAGGCCTGCCTGACTCAGGCACTCGCGACCGCATGTGCTACAGCACCATGCGCTCGATGTCGATGGAGTGCAACCCAT